GTTCTGGATGCAGGTCAGCTGATCCCAGAAACTCTGTGTGCAGCAGCTTCATATCATCCGTTTACTGAACTTTATGACAACATAAAGGCTATTGTTAAGTGTTGGGTGACCATAATGTAAATTAATATTAAAAATGAAAAGCTGCAAAAAATATATATTTTCAATCTATTTATTGGCAAATTTAGTCTAATAATTGAAAACATGGATGGAAAATGAAACTAATAAAATAAAACAAAACACTTACAAAGCAGAACACAGCTAAATGTATCAAAAGTATGTCTATGTAATACTAGAATTTTCTGAGAATGAATTTTGGTTTTTCATTTTTTTRCCCCAGTAAGAGGCTTTTATTTAATAGAATTTTTGGACCAAAAATATCGCAAAATATTGCCTCGTTTACAGTATTGAAATATATCGGGATATATCGTATCGTGTCCCCTCTGTCATGATATGTATCGTATCGCCAAATTCTTGCCAATACACAGCCCTAGTAAATATGAGACTCAAACTGAATTAATCACCTTTTATTGTCTCAAACATTTGCAAACGGACCTTGCTGTAAAGTAAAGTGCTTGTAAAACCAACACATTGTCTTCTTTCTGTTTGGTTGTTCTGTTTCTGTTTCCCCCACTACATAAAGGGTGGATTTACAAGGCTAGACTGAGAAATAGTACTGCATTGTAGGTCCAAACAGGTGACCTGTGTAACCAGGAGTCATGCACAATTTGATTCAACACCTGCTGGTGAAAGACATGTAAACCTGATTCAAAATGAGTGTATTTCAGTCAGTTTTAGTGTAGCTTTAGCTGCGAGTCATTAACAATGCCTACTTCAAGATCTTCTAACTGCACAAAGTGCCTACTTAAAACTTGAGCATTAGCTGTTTGAAGTCAGCATTAATATGCAGTATTTCATGACTCACTGGAGTCTGACTGAAGTGAACTCATTGGAAATATATCTGACTGATTAATTTTTGAGTTAATCCAATTCAAGATGGCTGTCACAAATTACATTATCCAACATGAAAATAGTTATCACTCAGGGCTGTGCGATAAAACAATAACGATATATATCATGATAGACACGTGATCAATATCCATAGAAAATACACCAGATAAAACGTTTATAATTTCATGTACAAAAGCTTAAAGAAGTTTATAAAAGTTACGAAGGGAAACAAAAATTGCTGACAAACTGGGAGCCTGTCAACTGAAGCTTTAACATTGCTGCACAC